AGCTTGTGATTGTCCATGAGCATTTATCCAGTGATAAGGCTATACAGACTAAAAAGGCAAATACACTGGTTGAACTGACAATTGTTAATATATGGTTTTAAATCTTGATGAAAAGGCTCTCTGTAAAGATCTATTTAAGGATTGGTTTCCAATCTGACTAACCTGAAATCAGGAAATCTCATGGCACTATTAAGTTTAATAATCAAATCATTGTCAATAATTTTAAACGATCAAGTTATCCAGTGCACGTGCAACGCATATCTCTATAAATAGTTGCACGTGCAACGCACCAACAAAAAACTAGTAATGTAAAACTTAAAAAGAATATAGAAGTAAAAAGAAGAGGAAGGAATATCTATTAATTTTAGTTGGGAATCTTCGTACTTAATTTTATAGAGTATGGTCGGTGTTTTAAATAATAAAATCATTCGCACATAAAATGATCAAGCATATCATGTGAACGTGCACGTGCACCACATATCTCTGTAAGTAGTTGCACGTCCAATGCACTTGCAAACAACTAGTAATGTAAAATTTAGAAAGAATATAAACGTAAAAATAGGAGGAAAGAATATTTATTAATTTAGTTGGAATACTTAATTTTATAGAGCATGGTAGGTGTTTAGTGAATTTTGATATCAATGTAGTGTTTTTCTTTAACATATATACGACGATGGAAAGAGTGTTCAAATATTAACCAGAACTACAGTAACATTTATGGTTTACAATGTTCATTTGGAAAAATAGATTATTTACTGATTAGTTAAATTTAGAATTGTATATTATCAGATAAGTAATGTTTACATTGCCATTTTGATCTTTGAGTATATTTTATAATCAAATTGGACAACATAAAGATTAATTTTATACAATATCATTTTCCTAAACATCGTACAATGCAAAATGATATAAATCATGCTACGTGTACATCTTTGTTGACGTTAAATTTGACATTGTTGTAAGATGACAGCCATTTACACATTGATCTTAACAACACTTCAATTAATTGACACATAGATTGGAGTGTCAAACTTAATGTACATCAAGTGAGTACAATTAGTTTAATCCTACGAAATTGGCACTACAGCTTCTTTATGAAGACTTCCTTAAATTTTCACACTTTCAAAAAATCTCTTCGTACTAAATATATAGATTGATCTCTACTTTTTTCAAGAAATGTTCTACAAATATGCGTAGAAGTTCGTCATGTTCCTTCAATCAATCAAACAGCAGATGTGCTATCTCTACTTCCAAGTTCTTTGCATGCGTTGCAGATTTCGAGTAGAAAATTTATAAAAAGAAGACTTCTAGGATTTTTTAAGTCTAATTAATGCTCGATGTGTTATCGTATTCTATTTTAGTTTCGAGTTGTGATTGTATTAGCATGTTGGACTTTACTTTCCATAATAAAGAACATGCATCTTCTTTCTCCATTACAGATCTTTGAAAACCTTAGCTATATCATACCCTCTTCCCATATCTTCTACAATCTCTTGGGTATCTGATCAGGGTTTCCTGAATATGTTCAATTTCTGCAATTAATAGGTGATTGATTTGAGTAATTCAAATGATCTCTTTCTATTCGGGTAGAAAGGGTACATGGTTTCATAGTGAGTGTTGTAATTTAGTACAATGCTCTAACTTGTTATTTTTTGTTCTTATATTGCGCAATTGGATCCGATTTTCATGGAGATAGTGATTTTCACGTTTGTTATTAGTATCATCATTTCCCTTCATATATATTCACTCATTCTTTAGGAAAGTGCAAGATGGTTGCGGTTCTCTTAAAGCTTCACGATTTTGATAAAAGTCCTATGAAGATTGTGATTATCACATTGCAAATCTCCATTTCTTTCACTCCTTTTCAAGGATGGTGCAAAACTCTTGAAGTTGTCATCATTGTGATTTGAATTTTTATGAAAATAATAATTAGAACTTTGCTACATGTACAGAAAATATGTACATGTAGTTTGATAGATACACGTATCAAATGCATCTTCAGTCAATTTGAATTATTGAAATTCAAATCGACATGCATTTTTAAACTACGTGTATAGATTTTCCATACATGTAGAATATTTCTCATATTTATCTTGCTTGACGCTAATTGTCACCTTCTTCCATTTCTTTTCCCTCATTTTTGAATAAAGTGCACATTCTTTTTTACTCATTCCAAGGAAAGTTCAAAATGAGTACGAAATTGTTAATACTGTCACTACTAATAATTGTCGTGATAACTATTTGTGGCAACGCTCAATTTCTTCTCTCCTTTTTGAGGAAAGTGGAGGACGAGTTGGCATTATTATCTTGTTAATTCTATGCTTATTTTTACTCATTCCAAGGAAAGTTCAAAATGAGTACGAAATTGTTAATACTGTCACTACTAATAATTGTCGTGATAACTATTTGTGGCAACGCTCAATTTCTTCTCTCCTTTTTGAGGAAAGTGGAGGACGAGTTGGCATTATTATCTTGTTAATTCTATGCTTACACACATACACACATGCATGTACTTATGTACCCGTGTAACAAAATTAAATTATTAATACGATAATAATATACACAATTATTAATATGATAATAAGATTTTATACTGTTTTTTAAATATTTTTAGTTTTTACTTCATTTGATACCAAATACTAGAAAAGTGAAAACTCCATAAAAATTGAAGTTGTAGCTTGCATGGTTCCCACACCTACAACTACCTAAATTAATGGTTTCTAGCAGGGACGGATCCAGCCGCTCAAGTGAGGTAGGGTGGATCGTCAAAAATTTATCAAACACTTCCCAATATAACGATATTGTTTACTAATATTTAATTAATTTATATTAAAAGAATCTCCAATCAATATATAAATGCACTAAAATGTAAAAATAATATAAATATTAAAATATAATTCAGTATAATCCAAAATAATAAGGAATAAAAATCCATTTTTTGAATCATATACATATTATCAAGTTTCAAATTTTTATGAATTTAAGCGAGACAAGATGAATTTTATATGTAGTGGTTAATCGATAAAGACAAAAATTTATAAATAATGAATTTTAGAGCTATTTTTCCCCCAGAAAGAAAAATATTTTTCAAACTCTTAGAAGAACAAAGAATTTTACCAAATAATTCGATAAAACTTATCAATTGAAGTATATATTATGAAGTAATAATTTCAGTCAATAAATTTTTAAAGCAATGATTTTTAGAGCTATTTTTACCCAAAAAGAAATCTTATTTTCAAACTCTTAAAATAATAAAGATCAGTACTTAAATTGTTCAAATTTGAATTTTAAAAAATAAATTGATAAAATCTAATAATAAAAGTATATACTATGAAGTAATAATTTGAGTTAACAAATTTTTTTAAAGAAATTATTTTAGAAACAAAAACGATTAATATAGAATTGTTTAATTATTATTTATTGTGTTAAAAAATTAAAAAGAAGAAGAGGACGTGAAGGGAATCGAATCCTATACCTCTGATACGTTAAAAACGGACTTCCCAATTGAGATACAAAACTATATCAGCGTTAATTAAAACAAAAATAGTATACAATTATTTAACTATTATTTATTGTGTTTGAAAAATTAAAAGAAGAAGTGAAAATGAGAGGAGTCGAATTAGGTGCCTCTCACTTGCAAAACCAACGCCCTACCAAATGAGCTACGATCATAATTGTCAAAAGATGGTCCAATTTTACATATTTATCATAATAACTTCATTAACATGAAATTCCTTTTCTATCAGAGTTTGTACGGGCGACCGAGCTAGCTCGCTGAGAGCAGCTCCGCCTCTGGTCTCAAGCAAATCGCCAAAAAAGGAATAAGAAGAACTTAAATTAGAGAAACTACTGAAAAAGAAAAGGAAATTGGAAAAGAAAAAAAAAACTAGGGTCTGGACTTTGGATGGGGGCCGAGAGGCCTAGCAAAAAATTGGGGAGTTAAATTTATCAATGGCTACCCAACTTTAACTTATTGTCACCTTGGCCACTCAATTTGATTTTGTATCACCATGGCCGTCTACCTTTATACTTAGGTCACTATGGTCATCTAATTTGATTTTATTTCATTACAGCCATCCAATTTCATATAACATTTCACCATAACCACCCAATTTTATATAATGTTTCACCATGGCCATCAAACTTTTTTTTCTCATCATTTTCACTAATTTTAGAAGGAATAAAACGACAGCTTTGCAGTATATATATAAAATAAATTTAAAAAAAAAAAATTTATTTAAAAAATAAAATAAAAACTTATAAAAAAAGATACTTAAAAATTTAAATAAAAACTTATTTAAAAAATTTACTTAGAAAAATAAAATAAAAACTCATTTAAAAAAATTAAAGTAAAATAAATACTTTTTATAAAAAAGTAACTTAGAAAAAAATATAAAATAAAAAGTTATTTTAAAAAACGTTCATTTTTAAAAGATAATAAAAACTTATTTTAAAAAAAAGTCTTAGAAAAATGAAATAAAATAAAAAATTATTTTAAAATTAAAAAAATTTATTTTTAAAAAATATATTTTATATATAAGACAAAGTTACTGTATACCTCTTTTAAAATTAGTGAAAATAGTGAAAAAAAAAATGATTAGTCATGATGAAATATTTATGAAAGTAGGTAGTAATGATAAAATATTATATAAAATTGGATGGTCACGATGAAATAAAATCACATTGAGTGGTTATGCTATATTAGGTATGCAATTAATTGATCACGGTGAAATAAAATCAAATTGAATAACTGACACTAAACTTCTATTTGAACCCTATTTTTTTACATTTTTTTTATTATTTTTTCTACAGTACTCATTTTCGATTACACATTCTTCATTAAAATAATATAACACTAAAATAAATTTTTTCTTTTTTAACTACACATTTTATATCAATTACTATTCCATAATACATTCCTTCAAATTAGTGAGCTCAAATGGGCCTAAGTATAAAATTAAGGCTCATCATGAATTTAACCCAAAACTTGGAGCACCAGAAAAACACAGCAGTGCTGTAAAAAATTCACATCTAAGGAACTCAAGAGGCAGCAAAGTGCTCTCTTTCTAAAAGGTTTACTGATCGAGGTATAATCCGATGAAGAAGGTTGTGAAGACGTTTATTTCTTAGCTACTGTAATTAATTCCCTTTCAAAGTTTAAGGAAAAAATTTAAACCCTAAAAGGTACAACAAAGTTTACGTGGAGTACCACGACCTTTTGGCGGATGAAAATGAGTCGGAGCTTTTGAGGGAGTACGTAAATGTGGCGTTTGTGAGGCCAGCGCTGCCACCAGAAGAGATTGTTCAGGGGTTTGAAGTGAACGACATCGTTGATGCTTTCCACGGGATGAGTGGTGCACCGGTGCTGTAAGGAGAATAATTGACGGAGGTTCGAAGTTTGTAGTCGCTTTTCAAAATCCTCCAAACTAGTTCCAATTTGGCGTTGTAGACCTGCGGGTCCACTGGGATTGGGTCGACTGTCTGTGGCTCCGACCCGTTCAGCTGGTAAAGACCCCAGGGCTTTTAGGGTTTATGAGGTGTAACATTTTCGTCTTATTTTTCTGCAATATTATTTTCGCATTGTTTTCTTCTTTTTATGTGCTGCATTTTTGTCTACTTAAGGTTTTTAGGGTTTACGAGAGACTATTACTTTTTATATTTGAGTTTTTTGGGGTTGAAAGGTGGCCAATTACCAAGCATACTGATGATAAGTTGATATTTTGGTTTGCATTTAGGAATTATCAGATTCACAGAAGTGTAGTATCCTTATTCCGAGCTCGATCTATTGTGAATTTTTATTTTACTATATTCATATTTCTAAATTGCTAGAATTTCATATTGGATGAAGGCGCTCTCTCTCTCTCTTTCTCTCTCTATTATTTTTCCCTATTTTGTAGGTTTATATTTTTGGTGAGTCATGATAGCATAAATGTTTTTGAAAGCAGTATACAATTTTCGAAGTTAGATGTACTTTAGCACATGAAGCTGTTCGATTATATCTCAGTGGAAGCTGTTGTAAGGGGCTGGGAGCTGTTGGTGTGATGGTTGATTTTTTGTCGTGACATTCTTGTAGATGAGGATTATTACTAGTTTTAATTTTAAGAACTGCTGAACTCTGTTGATCAGTAATCTTACGAGATAATATCACTTTTAACTTTCTATTCATGATATTGTTTTCTTAGTTCTTGTGATATATTCGGAAGAGTACAGAAGCATTGATGTTTGAAGTGGGGAGACAAGTAGAGGTCTCATTTGATGCAGAAGATTGTCGAGATGCTTGGTTCCCGGCAACTATATTGGACATCTTAAGAAACGGATCTTTCCTGGTGGGGTATGGGAGCCCAAAAGTTGGTGATGAGGTTCGGCCTCTGAAAGTAACCATAGATCCCCTCCGTGTTAGACCTTGTCCACCACTTGTCAAGAGTAAAACATTTGATCTGCTGGAAAAAGTTGATGCATCTTTTGATAATGGCTGGTGGAGTGGAGTAATTACAAAGGAGCTTGAGGATAGTAGGTACCTTGTCTTCTTCAAGGAGACGAGTAAGAATAGGAAATTCCATCAGTCGGAAATAAGACCACACATGGAATGGAGGGATGGCAAGTGGATCACTTCTTCCAAGGTTTGCTCTAGCTTTTCTAGCTTTTCGCTCAGCAGATTCCAATTCTGTTTTGTTTGGAGTGATCAGCATTGTCCTTGTCCGCCTTTTATATTCTCTATCTAAATTAACCGTGCTCATAAAATGTTTTGGGGTTTCTAGCTGTTATTATCTGCATGTAGTTTTAAATGAGTTGCATGTTCTTGAACAATCTAGTGGCTAATACTTTAGTGATAGGGAGGAGGCAGAAGGACCTTGCTTGTCTGTGCTGTGCATGTGGTGCTAGGCAAATTGTACTTCTGGTTTGAGCACTGACCTGAATGGTTTACAGAAAGTGATTCAGTTGTGTACGCTCCTTTTTTCTTTCACGACATTTGGTTGAATTAAATTTGTTTGCTGTTGTTTGATTATATTCAATCCATGGATAAATTCAATCTTGAACCAGTAGAAGGGATGGAAAATTAAAGGTTAATCTATCTCGATTCATGGTATGGTTTTCTTTGCCACCATGCCATGGGGTAAAATTTTTAAATTAGTAACTGAACTGATATGTCAGTTTCAATTTGGTCACTTAACTTTAATTTGTTACAAATGAGCTATTCAACTTTAAATTTGTTTCGTGCTGATCACTAAACTTAATTTGTGCAAAACGAGTCACTGAACTTCAAGTTTGACTTCAGATCGATCTTCATTTTCAGTAATAAATCAATAATGTTAAATTTCACAACCATACATTTTCCATATTGGAGAGGAGATTCATTTGAAAGCTTCTTGACTTGATGCTACTTCTGGTAGACGGTTTCTAAGTTGCAAGGAGATTAACATTGCATTAAACAAGTTTTATAGTCGGGTGACTAATGTGGAACGATTTAAGCTCAGTGGATAACATGAAACGCGTCTTAAAGTTGGATAATTAGTTTAGAACAAAAAAAGTATTTAGCTACTAAATTGAAACCTACCTAATCTGTGAGTTTTTTACCTGCAAGCATCATGTTGAATTTGTACCTTAGGCCGAACATTTTATTTAATTTACAAATATATTTCAGTAAAGTACTCCATGTAATCTGAAGGATTTGTTCTTATCATGTTGAGCACTGAAGGATTGGACAACTTAAATTGTAAACCGTCTTTTACTGTTGGTCTGTTACTCACAATTAAATACTGTACTCATACCTTTATTTCCTGTTTTTTTAAATAATATTTCAGCTTTTCCCCCTTTGCACCAATTATCTGTATATGTTTATGTCAAATTATCTAAAACCAATTTATTGTACCTGCACTTATGGCTTCATAGTGGTATGCCTAAATTTTTCTTATTGTTATATACACTATTGCCAGAAAATTTGTGCATCTATAATGCTTAATTGACTTGGGTTATTTACCCTAATGTCTTTGGCATTTCTTTCAGGATGTCTCAATCCCATCTTCAGAAGATGGAAAATGGGGAATTCATATTTGCACCAATGGCACTGCAGTGGCTAAACCAGTAAGGAGCTCTAGCAATGGAAAGGACAACTCTAAAGAGAAAATGGAGACTCGAATGGAGTCAACTCCTCACAATCGGAAACCTTCTCCTGTTTCTGATCAATTGACTAGGAGCAGATATCTTTTACCTTTTGATTCTCTTGATACGCTTTCACAGCCTCTGAAGAAGCTTAAGGAAGGAAAAGCAGGGTCCCCATCTCTTACACCTGATCAACAAACTATACTTGAAACACCAAGTAAACGCGTGCAAGGTGGTTCTATAAGCCCAACCTCTGGAAGTACCATATCCAGCTCTGTCAAACCACCTGTGCCTCAGGATTTTTCCTCTAATAATCCTTACTGGGGGAGGAGAATTGTAAGTCACACCATCCAAATTCTTCATGATATATTATCTTCATTTTGCTGGTTCAATTGAATAAGGTGAAATACCTGAAGATGATTTGAACCACGAAACGCTCGGTTTTCATTTCGGTCGTAGGTGTAACCAACCTGCTATGAAGGATATGGCAGAAAGAAATTATAGAAAAAGAGCTCCAGTATAAAGATCTTCATTAGTGCGTAAACCGATTGTATACCGCCACTGATAAACACCAGAATAAGCGATATGGTAGCTATGGTTTTAGTCCCTCCTGTTTATTATAGGAACTTCATTGATGCTACCTTAGTCAAAAGCTGAGAAATTATAGAGGAAGTACTAATCTGGAGAGATTTGTATATGACCGTCATATTGACCATTGTTGATACATGATGTGAATCCACGAACACGTACGAATGCACAAAATGCTGTAGTAACTCGGTAGAGATAAACTGGTCTTCTGCTATTTCAAGCCGGTGAAACTATTTGAAATTTACACGTGACTGTTACTGTCCCAGTGGATGCACTCTTTAATCTGATTAGTTATGTAGTCACTGGCCCTCACTTCTAGTTTAATAGAGTTGAGTGTTTGTAGTTGGATTGTATGAATTGACCATAACTAAACACATTAAGGAAGTTTTGAAGCTACTAAAAATTTGTCCTAAATATTGGTTAGCTAAAACTCCAAGCCAAGTCAAGCCAAATAGAACCTTGAGAGAAGATGAAACAAGCGCAAGGGGTTGTTTGACAAAAGTTTTGATAAAAGTTTTAGCAAATTTTAATAGTAGTTGATGAAATATCGGTTGTAGAGCTGATAAAACTTGTGGTCCTATGAATTTGGTGTTAAAATTAATTGTTGCCTTTGACCTCAAACTTTTAGTAACTTTTGAAGCTTTCCCAACCAAGCAATAATTGAAAAATTTAGGCTCATTCCTGTGTTGTTCGCGCTATATTTTTCGCATCAACTGACATTGATGCTGAAAACTGTTACTTTTACATCATGCAGCAGAGAAAACGAGGAAAACAAAAGATGCCTACATCCAGTTCTATGAAGAAAAGAGGAAGAACACAAACACCACAAGTTGGAAATCCAGAACTTGTTGTAGAAGGTATTTAGTTCAATTCTTGTTTTCTTAGTTTGTTTGAATTTTTTATTAATTCAACTTACTGTAACTGGAAAATTTATTAGCAGGCAGGGAGCTCAATTTAGTGGAAAATGCTGCAGATGTTCTAGAGGAGAATGTGGATGGGGAAACTGATTTAGGGATCGTCTTAGGTCTGGCATGTGCTGAATTGGGGAGCTCAAGACATAAGACAGGGGGCTTAAGAGGTAAGAGGGCTTTGGAGTCCCATGGTAAGGAATCTTTGAAGCTCGTGAGTGTCCTGGAGCAGCTATCAAATGATTCAGCTATACAGATTATAAAGGTGAATATAAAGATTGGACTGGCACTTGTTTATATATGGTTTTGAATCTTGACGAAGAGTCTTTCTCTGTAAATACGTATTCAAGGACTGGTTTGCCAAGCCAACTAACATGAAATCATGATGTCTCATGGGACTAATTAGTTAAATGATCAAATCATTCATCAATATCCTAAATCTGCATTGCTAGATTTATTGCGATATATAAGCTAAAAGGTGCAAGGGAGATAAAATGGTATTTTAGGATTAATTCGTAATCTTGTTTTTAAGCTTGTTACTCTTAAAATGTAAGGGAAAAAACATTTTGCAATCATGAAGTTGCCTTCAATTTCAATGTGCATCCTGTGATCAGGTGCTACTTACCTTGCTGACTAGCATATAACAGGGCTTTTTGAGTAATTTTATGTAAATATTTTCCACTTAAATTTTGGATTATAATATTGATTACAGTTCTTTGAAACTCTTTTATTATCCATAGTGGTTCTATTACTTTTTGTTCATTTTTTTCTTTAAGAATTATACTATGGTACTTCGGTCCTTTCATGTTTCCCTTTCATCATTTTTATGCTGCTAAAGTTATATTCATCTTATCTTTCTCTTTTTGTTTCACGGAACGCGATTTCCATCTAACTGTTCAATCCTCATCTTAGTCACATTTAATTGAAATTCTATATTTCCGTCTCTGGAGCTTTCACCCCCCCCCCCCCCCCCCCCCCTTTTTTTTT